TGTATAAAAACTTAATGGGTTTTGAGAAAAGGAAGTGGCTTCGGCATGCGCCGTGCATTCGTTCTTCAGTTCGACGCAAACAGTTTAATAGGTTGACGCCGATTCGCGTCCGTATTTGTGAACTAGGTACCACGCAAGCTGGGTGAAGAGATCGTTGCCATGAACTCTTTCGTGAGCCTCACCAGGTGTGCAGTTATGGGCAAAACTTGGGCCCTAGGCGGGGTTCGATCCCGCATATCTTGTTTGCCGTGCCATGATTTCAGAAGCTTAGCTAGGGTGAAATGGTGCCGGTAGTGTAACTGGTAGCGCAATTGCCCGGAAAGCGAGAGGTGCGGGTTCTAGTCCCGCCTGGGGCGAAAGTTTTGTTCACAACCCAGCATTCTTGTGAAACATTCGCAACGCGAACTGCGGCGTTAAAACAGCAGTTAAAAACAAAACAAGTATCTCGTGAGTCTAATTCATTGACCAAAAATGCTTTTTTCACTACTTGGCTGATAGCCAAAACAATCTTACCGTTGATGTGTAACTGAACTCTTAGATAACAGCGGTTAATGTCTCCAAAATGTCACGTTCAGCAGTTGATTAGTGGACTTTCTCAAGAATCACATGGCATTTCCCCCGTCGTGGCAGGTGTCACTTTGAAATGTGATGACGACAGCAGAGTGCTTCGTTGCAGCGCTCGAACACATTGGGCTCTTCCCCTTCTCATCTTTTCCGCTCTACGAAAGTCTTTCATGAGCGTTTAATCCTATCTTAACTGGCTGAACCCCGCAACGTCTTAGGAATTTCCCTTTTGCAGGTGGCCGCTTTCCAATTGAAATTGAGCTTTTTTATGTGCATTCAAAAGGTGCGAATTTAGTGTGACCACCTGTCATTTCATTTGTTCGTCGAAATGATGACGAATTTTCTCCTTCACTTGTTATATTTGCTTTTTTTGCTAGATTTTATCGTCTGGCGCAGAGGTGAAGGATAGTGACTAAATACTGGGCCTTAAATTATGCAACGCTATCCAGTATTTATAGTGTGCGATCACTCCCTTGTGCGCGGCCATGCATTCTGGATCGGCTTTATGTTTTTAATTCGTCACTAACTTCTTCAATAATTCACTACTGGTAATTGACTCACAGTTTTTCGGATAAGGTAATGCATGCACACAGTTTTGAAATATGAAAAATGGCCAAATAAATCAAAAAAATCTAATCAGAATCGGTGAAATTCTGACGCGCATGCGCGTCATGCTGTCGTCACCGTGTCAAAGGAATAATGCCTAGTGGGTCTGCGAGGAGAATACTCGTCACTTAACAACACATGACGTAATTCACTTAAGAATTAAGCTAGGTATTTCTCTCGGCATTTTTGCAATTTACCCATAGATGGTCAAGAAATAATTCATTTGACGTTGGTCGCTCCTCTGGGATGCGCCACGCCTTCTAATTCTATCCAAAAACACACAAATGGATTTTGGTCTACGCAGAAACTTTCTTTGTTTATTGAGCTTTGGTCAGCAAAATTAACTAAATTTTTCGAGTAGTTCAATCGCCTTACAAAAGCGTGTACCACTGCAAACGTGACTGCTTGAATTCATCGAAAATCTCTTCAAAATTCGGAATAAAAATTAGAGGGGAGAAGACTTCCTTTTTCTTTCTACGTTAAGAACTTTTTTACACCCTTACCAATTCTCGCGCGACTTTTCTTTGCTTACTTACTTTACAACATTCTACTCGCTTGGGTAAACATCAACAATTGCAACCAGAACAGAACGACAAAGGAGACTTTTGCTTACCATCTCTCTCGTCATCTTTCATTTTTCTTCATTTTACTTTTCACCATTGTCTCTAGTGTACCTCCGTGCCCTCATGGCTAGCCAAATTCTGTTTACCATCTGATTTACTCCAAATTTTTCAAAATATACTTTTATAAAGCGTCTCTCGGTTCGTCCCTTCAAATACTCATATCTCGCTTTTCTATGACAACTGACTATTCCGCCAGGTTTCCCCTCCATCACACCTTCGTCATTCATTCGCCGTTCATCCTGCCAGTTCTCGACGCGATCCACTCAAAAAAAGGTTTCCGCTCCATCATTTCACTTACGTTGACGACACACTGGACGTGGGTGGATGTTGGCGGCACTGACGGCTGGATAATCAAAACTTTTCATTTCGTGACATTCGTTTTATCCTTTTAAGCATAAAATGGCCCATAAATGCATGTATCAAGAGTTCAATTCTTCACCGCCATCTGCCCTTGCCAGTCTAGTCTCGTACATTTCGTGAAATGATCCCAGTCCATGCGAGGGGATCTAAATTTCCTTTTTATTTCTTAGAATTTCTTCAGCTTTTTCTGTTTAGAGGGATTTGACCTTTTGGAAAGTTAAAATGCGTTTATTTTTCAAAATTTTTCCGGATTTTTCCAAAAATTTTTAGTTTTTTTTTCGAATTTTCACGAAACTTGTGCGAATTTTGAATTTTTATTTCGTTCGGTCTGTCGTCTAAGACATGAAAGATTCTAATAGAAAAATTTTAATAAAAAGGAACCACGTCCCCCTCGTAAAAGTCCGAATCCCTATTTATGATTTCTTAACGTTCCCTAATTTCCCTACCGTTCTTTCGTACAAATACAACTCGAACACGACTGTTTGGCGCATTCAACCTCGCCATAGTCCCATGCATTTCGTGGCCATCAAAAAATGCCTCTATAAGGTACACGGTCTGTGAAGAAATTAACAATAGGGGTTCGTCGTTGTTGCGAAGGGATCGCGATCTTTTTTTGCTTGCTAATTTTTCCGAAATTTTCGAAATTATTCAAAATTTTGAAGAAATACATGAAAAGTTCAGAAATTTATCTCTTTTGTATTATCCTCTCGAACATACATAAAATTTGAATGCCTATCTTGAAATCCGATTCTTCACCGCAGTCTGCCCTCATCATAATGTCATGCATTTCAGGGGCCTTTAGGAAATGCCAGGAGAGTTCTATGACAAACAGCTATGCATTAGAAAGTTTGTAATTCAAAAAGTACAGTATCTTTCGTGACTTTCTCGCAAAAGCTTTTTCTTTGGACGTTTGAAAACCTTGTTTCCTCATAACTAATTATATCTTCGTTCTTCGAGAACAGTTCTGAGGGCAAAAGCGATGAGGTTACTTGAGGCGCCGAGTGTGGTCCTTGGAGTGCACCCACCCTATGCCTAGGAAGTGTTAGCCTCTAGGTTTAATTAAATGATAGGAGGATTGTCGGACCGATGAAAGTGCTCTTCACTGAGGTCACCGATTTTCCATGTTTAGTAATCAAAGTTGTTTTATCAACGTCTTTCTAATATTGTAAGTTGGTTATCACGGCCAGCTTACGACCACTGTAAATAAGGAAAGTTAATTAGTCAAAGTAATCATGGATTTTTCTCAAATCCAGTAGGACGGCTAGACATCTCATTTCTCACAAAGTTTCCCTTTGTAATTTGTTGGCCTCAAAACAGCTGTATGTGTTTGTTTTTACTTTACTATATAAATCTATTATATAACGATTTTAGTTTAAAGTACCACTACTATTCACTACTCCTTTAGTGTCGCTGTCTTATCTTTCATTAAAATATCTCCTGTTCTCTATGTTCGTCTCTCTGTCTCTGGAACGTCACTCGGCACCCCCCGCTCGGGGCTTATCGATAGAGGACGTACGGTGGGCGGGTAGGGGCGGTACTGGGCGGGCAGATGGGATGGTGGACGGAGCAGAGCGCTGGGCGGAGAGGGAAAACGGCGTACGTCAGTGGGACGGACCGAAGGGAATGCACCCGCCCGGCGAAAGGGCGGAGACGATGGGCCCAGCCTACCAGTAGAAGAGGACCGACGCGGTCACGACAGCTGGTGGCTGGGACTCGTTGTCGGGGTATTCGTCGTCGACGACGGGGTAATTTGTCTTCATAAAAGGCTTCAGATACTCGAGACGCCGACCGGGCGCGATTTATGTCGCCATCAGCCGTTCTAATCATTCACTAATACAATATTCCGCTATTCTATGAAGATATTTTCGAATTTATTTTCACTACCTTGGATTTTTTTCAGATTTTCCTTTTCTCAATGATTTACCATAAGGTATATTTCTTTTCCTCTTGATATCAATGTGCTGGGTACCCGTGCTTTTGATTAATAGATTTTCCTAGCGCGACCTTGCAATCAGCGCGCATACGGTATGTGGCTGTTTATGCCGATGTCCTATAATTCTTTGCACTCTCTGCGATTGGCGCACTCTCGCTCAGTTGCTGACCACTTCTCTACCTCTCTGTAACCCAGCGTGGTATCTCGCCGGGTACTCGTCGTACTCGCACAGTCAAATATTCTCCACCTTTGCCATTTGTGCTGTTGAGAAAGCTATGTGCAGTGTCATGTCTGCGAGCTCATTTGTCTCGTTCCGTCTGAGAAAAACTCCGTGAAAAGTGCAAACGCGGGGTTATTCGTTTCTCTTAATCCGCCGTTCGGGAAACCCCCTCTGAGGGAATTCCACGGATGATCTACGATCTCGTTTGATCTGCCCTGGAATGTTCCATGTCTTCATTCTGTGCACTATACGGTCCAAGGCCGGCACGTTCAGTCATTCACAATTACTTTCCATCTTTTCGTCATTCCTATGTTTTCATTATTCCTTTGAGCTTCTCCACTGTCTCATATTCTCTAATATTCTCTCGATATTTTTCTTCGCCGAGGGTTCCTCTCGAAGCTCTGCAAAAAAAGTGTAAAGTGTCTGCAAACGATGGCACTTTTTCCCAGATTCGCTCTCTCAAAGAGTTCAAATAGGTCCGTGAGAACTTGCTGTGTCGCGCGATAATCGATCCGCCGTAATTCCCCAACAGTCTTTAGTGATCAATCTTCGATAAACTCATCACCAATCCGGCTTGTATGGTGTGCGAATGTGCGTCGCGTTATTGCACTCGTTTCTGCAATTTCACGTCTTCTAAGTGACAACAATCTGCTGATGGTATCTTATTTGTGTTTTGATTTCAGTGCTAAATACAATGATGGAAGTTTGCGTCAATAACAACAGCTCGACGCCGGCCTTCGAATGGTCCGGATGTGAACCCTCCCAACCGAGTACCGCGCGTCCGAAGCGGGACTTCCGATTCCAGGTAATTTTACGATGTCGAATTTTCGCTTTCCATTCACCTTATTTCATGCAATCCACGACTCTTCCATTGGTCCTATTGGCTGTCTCGTACCAAAAACTTGTTTAGCCAGTTACTATCCCCTGAGAGACGGGTAACCCTAGCGAAAGTGGGATGGAGGAAAAAGCTGTCTAGTGCTATAACAAGGCATCTAGTGACCCGTATCCTGCATAGAAAGTGGGTCGCCCAATCCCGCATATCCAATGGTCTCTGAACCGATCAATACGCTGGCAGAAACTGGTTAATTCTTTCTGGATTCTCTGAAATGTTCGACACCGCGTACTTTTTCGATTCAACCATCTCTCTTCCCACAAAGAAGACGGCAAGGCGTGAAATGATATAGCGTTTCACCCTTTGGTACTGTAAAGTGATGGATGGGAGTCTCCGGCGGTATCGCTTCAGTTGGAAATGAACTGTTGCGTAGGATCCGTCTCAAATGTTTAATACTGGGGGTTTACTCGATTTCCCATCTTTTTTGAAGCCGTCTACTGGCTAATCTGGTTGGATGGAATGTTGCCAGCTCTGCCAGATGTATAATGTCCGACTCTCTTTCCATCCATCCTCACAAACAATGCCAGCCAAAGGGGACAAACAACATTTGAATGCTGCGTGTAGCTTAATTGTTGAAAATACTGGTACGAGTTGAATGGCCATGAAAGCTCAACAAAATCATTGGGTCCAAACGACATTTTGACGATGTGGCACCTCAATAGTACTTTTCTAGGTAATCGAAGTCCGTCAATGCCCCAAGTGGTTTATCTGGCCAAACCGCAATCGCCGCAATGATGATGAAGTCGATGAGAACCATAATAAGGTGAGCTTTAGCTTTTTATTTATTTTTATTGGTGTTTGTTACATCTTACCTACTTTTTTACATTTTCGCCAATGTGAGCGTTAAGTATTGCTGTTTACGATGATTGTTTCAGGAAGCGAAAACGGTAGGCATCGAAAATGATTATCAACAACCAGCTTATAGTAACCAGAATCAATTTGCCACCTATTCGTCGACACAAAACGGCTACGGTGCTATACGTCGAAACGTTCTCCGTGGCTCGAAACGCATGCAACTAGAGAAAGAAGGAGGTGAGGAATTTTTCTTGATCGGCTTCCTTCATAACAAATCTTTCATACATATTTCTCATTATGTACATCGTGGGGTTTCGGCAGCACTTCTTCTTTTGAGATAATTGAGCATGCTGCCCGCCCTAGCCACAATTCTGTGCAATGGAATCGTTTAAGCGCATTTCGCGATGCTGAAAGAGCGCAGCAATTTATCCGTGATTGGTTTTCTGGTATGCGGGAGCTGGTGCTAGGAACAAGGGATTCGTTTTACTGTTTTTCTTGCCTTTCCAGCTTTCTAGAAATTAAGTACAACATTGTACTTCTCGTTAAGTCTTCTGAAATTCAATTAAGAGTCAAGTTTTCAATCAAAACCTTAGGCTGAAAGACGGGGAAATTCATCACTATCTCCTGAAATAGGTGCCATTGCCAGTGGAGCCTCTTGACAACTCTCTGTCCCTCTATGAAAAGGCGGCTGAGAGCAACTTACCACCTGCAGCAGTCTTCCCCATTAGTGCGAAATCAAATCGCGTGTGTATAGCGGAGATTCAAAGAAAATTACAACGATCACATAAAATTGTGTCAATCGCCTGCATGATGGTTTTTCTTTTTCAGTGCCTGGGCGCACGGCGTCTGAACCAGCCAGGCGGCTCTCGGCGAAAAAGGACAAGGCGGTTACCGAGCCGATTCAGTCCGGCAGTCCGTCTAATACGTTCAAAATCCTGTCGATTGCGAAGAAATGGGAAAGTTTCGACGCGACGGATGACGAATCCGAAGAGGTGGTCGTGAGCTCCTGCACCCAGATAAACCTCTCGGACGTGACGGAACGCAGATGGACGGCAAATTAGTGCAGTCGTGCCATCATCGTCGACGTCATGTGTGTGTGCGTGTGTGCTGTGCGCTTTTTCCCTTCTGATGGAAGGGACGTGCGGCGCCGTCCGTGCTCCGGTGGTAGCGGTTTGGGCCGCGGTAAATTTTCGTCGCTATGTCGCTCGTGTACATATCCATACGCTTTCCGCCTTTACGGTTACTCATCTTCTGTTCATTTCTCGTATCGTTGTCTGTTTTTGTCTCTTGTGTGTATTCGTGAATGCACAATATGCGGGTCTGTAAATGAGAATTGCAACTGAGTCGGCTAGTACTGGTTCTGAATATTGTTTTGTTTTTCTAGGAATACAGCAGAGTTGTGACAATATGTAGAAGAATTAGCAATTGTAGTAGTTGTTACTTTGTTTTCGGCTTAAGTAAGTAAGTATTCATCAATACCATCAACAACATTCATTTGCTATATTGAGCTCCCCCCTTACCGTTCTATTTCGTTTCATATTCCAACCGTTCTGTAGCCTTTAGCGCATTATTTAATAGTGCATATCATTTAACATCAATTGGGTTTCATCTATTTCTCCTATGCGGATTTAGTAACTCATTTATTATTATCGAGCAAGGCAATTATGTGTTGCTTCGTCATTGAAAGAATGAAAACTTCAAAAAAATTGATGTTTTGTTAAAGGAAGAAAATGGTTTTGGATGCCATTCCATTTAATAGCGACTGAACAAAGAGAATGTGGGCGAGGAAGTGGGATGTGTTTACTTTGTGCTTCCAATAGACAGGAAGACAGCGTGATGCCTTTTGTGTTCCATTTTGATTTTTGAGCAGCACCCAGTTGTGTTCTTCTACGTAGGGGAAGTCACAAACACTCATTCCCACTAACAAGGAAGTGTCTGCGATTTATGGATTCTTTTTCCTTCATTAACAAATGTTGTTGGTATCAGTGGTGTTCGGCCAAAGGTAGGGCTCAGGCCATATTTGTCAAAATTACGGCAGGCGGTTTTTTTTCTCAGATGATTTGAATTTGACAACTCAGGGGATACCACAGTGGGCTGCTGCCATTGTGATGGCCTTGGGACCAACCATCTGCCGTTGAGTGGACTTGGGTTTGAGGGCCTAGATTCTAAGGGCCTGCACAGCCGTCTGAATTTCGAAGGCTTCCAAAGGATTTGGAGGAGTGGGTTCTCGAGACGGTTGCCGATTGGTAAGTACATGAAATAACGCATAAAAAGCGTGATGGACGAGTTTGATTCCCAGTTGGTACGAAGTGTTTTGCCCATTGGCTAGCATCCTTGTGACAACTTTCTCATAGTGGTCTGAGTTCAAAAACAGCACGTAACAAAACAAGGAAGTATTCGGCAGCGACCTTCAGCTGCGTAGTTTTGCAGCTCTCCAGGCTCGGGGAGACATCTCCGTAAATCCGATTTCGCCCTTGCTAATTTATTCCATCTATTTGTTGCAGGAGCATTAGGTACATCAAGGAATAGAAAAGGCGAAGAGTATCAAATCGTTGTCAATTATTAAAAAACGGGTGGATATTAAGTTATGAACGTCCCAACACGAAAAAATCTTAACAAGTGATAATATAGAAAAAGAAAACGAGAAACTATGCATGCAGACCATTTAGGAAAGGTGTTAAGCCATGTCTTCCTCTATGAGGAGGTAGTAATTTTCATTCGCAAAACTTGGGGTCTATCCGAAGGAATGGGTGTGGTTGTGCCTGTTCGACAGTTGCTCCTCGCTTAATGAAAATCCAATTTTTCGTTCAAGGGAGGAAGCTTCAAGTGCGTGAACCTTTTGCTTACCTTTTACATCCCATTCCGGAGGGTAATGAAGGCTTGTATGTTGCTGGTTCCTCGAATATGGCCACGACAGCTAGAAAACGTCGCCTACTTTACTCCTTACGCTGACTTAAAATGGAGCAATGAAACAGAAACTCAAGTGGTGTCGCCCTTATCCACCCGGTGTGGGTCATCGGCATAGCTTTCGAGTCCCGCAGTCAGCCAAGTAACATACTAAGACAATGGCTCGACGCCGAGCGAACATTCTGAAATTCTTATAGTTTTGACTTTTTCAGGTGAACAGCTGAATTATGTAAGTAATGAACTTTGAAGCTATTAGTGTTGAATTGTTAAGCAAGTACACTCTTCGATTTTTTTACTCTGTAGGCCAGTCGAAGTGTGTTGCGGCTGCACGCTACCAACATGCGCCCGATTCGGGAATGGAATCCTGGGTCATGTGGTCCGAGCCGACCAAGCCTTTCACCCCGGGTCGGTTAATTGGTACCAGACTTGTCTGGAGAGATAAAAACACTTTTTGTACATAGGCTGGCCTCCCGCAAGTCATTGTATAGGCCACATCGCATTCAAAAGCCACTGCGAATGTACAAATGGAAGTAGAATGCGTGCCGCAACGGCAAAAAAGGGAATTGATCATTCGGCATCTTTAACTCCTTTTAATACTCTATTACCAGGACATGGCGTCGTATTTTCTGCGGTCAAATGCGAATTGGGCACGTTATGTTAAGGCGCCAGTTAAAACTGGGTATGTGTGCTTTCTTAAAACTGCCTCACATTTTTGCACTTATCCGTATTTTGGAATTTTTTTGGTGACACTTGCAGTGCATACATACTCTCTGTTTCGGGAAACGAAAAGAGCGTCGAGTGCAGACCGCACACCGGCACAAGTTATTACGCGCGCAAAAAAAGAGAAGATTCGCAGTGGCGCGAACTTTCTTGCTGCGGCATTCCAGGTCTGCACTTCCGATCGTTGGCGACCATGCCAGGGTGCAGCAACCCCGACCCAGGCGGATGGGTCCCCAGGACTGTATCCCTGGCACCCGGCCCCAGGGGTACTGCAGTGAATAAGTTCGAGAAGCGAAAGTCGCGTTCTACTCCGCACAGCCGGTTGCCTACTTGTCTCTTGTGATATTATCGTTTTGGCTTCAGCTTCATGCAGTTGTCCATAATTTCTTCGAGAACATCTCTCATTTTGAATTTATCTGTTCAAGTGATATTAAATTACAGCTAATCAAATTTACGCTGCGATTGAAAATTTATTACTATAACCTTAACCTTGACCAGTAGTCAAGATTGAAGATGAATGTGGCTAATGATTGTCATGTGGTAGTATTTGACATTATTGTGGTTTTGTTCAGAAAGTTGCTGATCAATCATGGGTACGCCATCCTCTACTTCCTGGTACCATGAAAGACGACTGTTCACATTTGATTGTTGTCATCCGCGCATTTTTGTCACTAATCACTCACAAATAACTGAACTTGAGCGGTCAGTTTTCTCGCGAAGATCACGTTTTACATCATGTTTACTTCTTCTATGAATTCAACGACTTTCTCTTTTTTTCTGATGGTTTTGGTCATTCAAGGAATTGTTCCATTTTCAGCTATCTGCCCTTTGTCTGATGGTTTGATTTATTACTGATACCGGAATTTCGACGTCTAGTACTGGCGTTCTGGGGATGACGCGAACCATCAGGTTAATTCCATTTATGGAATCTATCATATTCTTTTTTAATGATTGTTTGGAAAAGAGGGGCGATTTGGGTTATACGTTGTCTAGAATGAGGTTTTCTTGAATAATTTCAGGAATTCTCCCTAGTCAGCTCAATAATTGCACCTGTCAATTAATACTATGGTCGGGTCATCTACATGCCAACGCTGGTGGAATCTAGGCTTATCGGTGAGGATTCAAATTTCATTTCTTTCGATTTACTTTATGCCGCTCCACAACAACGATCTTAGCACTGACAATACAATTAAAATTGTGTTGGGCTACTATTTCTTAAGTGTAAAAATGCGATGACTTCTGAGGTTTTCTTCAAAGCTAAAATTCATATTGTTCGAGTTTCTGGCTGGGTTGATGGCAGATAAGAGTTTATAGTAATCTTCGCATGCGTATTTTTAAGGGAACAGTCATGCTCATGTTTATGGAGATTCGAATAAGGAGCTTCCTCCTTCTTTTTATTACGCAGATGTTTTGCCTATGTTTGCCCATGATGTGATGTGCTTACAATGTTAGCACAGATTATACGTCTGAAAATCTCTGGCTGACGCAAGCTGTCTCAGAGTTGCTTCGTCAGTGGGATCCTTGACATGGCTGGACCAGAATTCAGTTCCTGATTGATTGAGGATGTCCTTCCCAGTCCTTCTTTTTTCCCAGAGTTCATTCTAATGCGTGCCGTATCAGATTTGTTCACGTGGCATTTGTTCATTGCGTCAGTAGCAAAGAACAAATTGTTTCAAACCTCCGCATCGCAAAAACAGCTCACACAGCTGTCAATTTTTAATCCTGGGACGGTTTACCGTCATGGCATGTGATTCTCAACGCGTGAGGTGATTTTGAGCCATAAACGAGGCTCACGAATGCGATTATGGTGAACCCGATTTGGCATTTGGTAAAGTTCAAGTATTCAAAAATAGGAAATAAAATTTCCCCAGAATGGCAAGGACGATCTAACCAATTTCCGGCACTGATGAGTCACCGAACTTATTGATTCATAATTTATTTATTTGTTTTGATTTACTTATTCAAAAAATGAAGATTAGGACGCTTCTATAAATAGATAAAAACCAGAATTAGCTTCGGCATACTTTTGTCTATAACGCAGAAAATTAGCGTATACCGACAACTAGCGGAAAGGATTTCACATATTTGAAGTAATGATTAGTGTGTTTACCCTTAATAATTAATCAAATATTCAACCTAATTGGGAGGCCTGCTTTATATACTTTACTTTACACGGCGGCCGAGATTTGGCAAACGTGAACGTAAGTGGAGGCGATAGCAAGAAGACAAGAACAGTGGGTTGGTTCTGGTTGGAATAATTTTGATAATTGAATTAATTGGTAAACAACGCGTTTCGAAAGGCGAAAGACGTAATTATATCGCTTTCGAGAGCCGTGTTCCAATGACCAGTTTAGAGCTTTTCCTCCTATCGGATTTGCGATCAGAATGTTTCTTCGGGTATTTCGTCAAGGTATCAAAATGAGTCCAAAAGAGG